AACCAAGCACAAGGCCTTGCAAAAGATGTGCCAGCTGAAGATGTGCATTCTGTGTCTAGCAGCTATATACACAGTAGTAGACCGCATGCAGGGCAGAGAGAGAACAGTCTGCTATCTTATGCCTGCTGCTGTAAATGCGCATGCTGTGGGCCTTATGGACGAGCCTGAGGATGCGTGTGCACACCCTGACTTGGAGTATGAAAAGGTAGTATCCAGACTTGCAGCCTCAAATGACACCGATAAATGTGCCAGACAGGTGTTTATTAGTCTGGATAGCGAGGACTTCAATGCGGTTGAGGTAAAGGACAAGCAAATGCAGGACTTGCTTGATCTCCTTGAGGGGGCAAACAAGCTATTTGAAATAGACGGCAGCACACAGAAAGATGCAGCAAAGAGCCAAATAGGGCTATCTAACAACACCGGTCCAGAAGATGGAAGAAAACCCAGTCCAGAAGATGAAAGCAGAGCCAGTCTAGAAGGCGCCCTTTTGAAGGAGATTGAAGATGTATGCACAAAGGAGAAAAAGCTCTTACGGAAACTGCGCAGTGTATATACAGCGAGAAACAATCAAAACAGTATTATGGAAAGGGCAGAAGAGAGGCGGTACCGCTCAAAGGCGCGCTATGTGGAGTATTTGGTGGAGGGGATAGAGTACCAGTGGTGGCAGTGCAAAGCAATGAAAGAGTGCTTAGTCTATGCAAATACTGTATTCACCCGAGTAAGTCTAAACAGACAGTCCAAGTGGCTTAAGAAGGGGCGTCTAACCCGGTCAGGCAAGCCAGATCAAGCTGCGCTTCTGGACAGAGCTATACAAGCAAGTTTTCAAGTAATGGGGCCTATAGAAGATGTCTTTGACTATATTGATAAAGTCTATATTAAAAAGGTAAATAAAATACTCAGAATAATAGAGAAAATAGACAGATATATAAAGCTGTGCATATCCGAAGAGGAGCACAAGGAATGCAAGGTGTTTGTAGAAGTTCTATCCAAGGTGTGCAAGTATATTAAGGACACCCTCCCAACAGCCCTAAATCCAGGTTATACCAGCGAGCATAGACATTCCCATGAGGTCTCTATGCATATGCGCCATTTAAATCTGATATAGCCCAAGCTCTTTAGTATGTATACAGAGTAAAATAAAAATAAAATACTTCAACTATACTATTAGCACATTGACCCGTATTAGGCACACAAAGAGAGC